TCACTTCCCTTATGCGGTTATCTTGTTCACATTATTTTGGAATTATGAAAAATATATCATTAAATTATAAATAATGGACAAAAATGTGTAATTTTGGTGCACAGTGACTATATTAGTTATTCCACAATGACATGATATTCTTTTACATTGTAGTTACGGTTGATATTTTATATGAAGTACTACGTATGTGACTGCAGTGACCATTCAGCAACAACATCCATGACTTGACCCCAAAAGAGCATATTGTCATATTTTTCCCCATGAGTTGTATTATAACAACAGCCCCTTTTACTCTAGGTTACATTGAAATGATGATGTTTGGTTCATAGATTGTTATTTGAGGTGCACAGTTTTGTTGTGTAAGAGTTTTCTCAAGATTACGATGCCAAATTGTTATTCTTCGTGATGATTATGCAGCTATGTTCTTCAATATTATGCAGGCTGTAAAACTTTATTGTTTTTTTATATTCTTGTAGGTTGTGTTAAAAGTTAGAACCAACAGAAGGTGGATAGACCTTTTCTTGGCAGTGTGTTACAGTCTTATGTTGATAATATTCTGTGCTTGGAGCAGCTGATGCTGCCATCCCATACTTGATAGTATGGACTCGCATAAGTTTTTTGCACACATCAGAACTGGAGCAGATTTATCGTTCTCTTCATTTCCTGCGATTCAATCCTTACCTAATCCAATATCTTCTATTGACTGCTTAAAGTTTAACCCCACAAGTTCTCCCAATTCGCCCTTTACTGATTATATTGATCCCCAAACCCATACTGCTTTTCGTGACAGTCACGATCCCACAACCGAAAATCTTCCACTGGACTATAGCAGTTATCCTCAATTGTGCAGTAGTCCTACCACTTTTCTCCAAAATTTGAACCGCAGTCAGTTGATGAAACGTGTTCTGCTGCAGTTAGAGAGTGATTTGATGAGGCCTGAAGAAGGGACAATGTCAGCTGCTCCTCCTCCTATTAATGATATCAAATGGTTACTTACGGCGTGTGCCAGAGCACTTGACGAGAAGAAACTGTCTGATTTTGACAGACTTGTTGACCACGCGCGTGGGTTGGTGTCTATCACGGGGAATCCTATCCAGCGCCTAGGCGCTTACATGATTGAAGGGTTAGTTGCCAGGAAAGAGGCATCGGGTAGCAACATTTATAGGGCATTGAGATGTAATGAGCCAACGGGAAAGGATTTACTATCGTACATGCACATCTTGTATGAGATTTGCCCGTATCTAAAATTTGGTTACGAGGCCGCAAATGGTGCCATAGCTGAAGCATGCAGAAACGATGACCGCATTCACATCATAGACTTTCAGATTGCACAGGGGGGCCAATGGATAACGCTCCTACAAGCACTTGCCGCAAGGCCCAGCGGTCCCCCGCACGTGCGCATCACTGGGATCGATGATCCGGTTTCTCGCCATGCCCGGGGAGATGGATTGGCAGCTGTCGGGAAACGGCTCGCGGCCATATCTGAGAGATTCAAGATTCAGGTAGAGTTCCACCCTGTCCCGGTTTACGCTTCGCTAATCACCATAGATATGCTTGGTGTGCGGCCGGGTGAGTCGCTGGCGGTGAACTTCCCCTTACAACTCCATCACACACCGGACGAGAGCGTTGACGTGAAGAATCCGAGGGATGGGCTTTTGAGGTTGGTGAAATCGATGTCCCCCAAGGTGGTCACATTGGTGGAGCAGGAATCAAACACCAATACAGCGCCTTTTTTCCCAAGGTTCAAAGAAGCTCTGGACTACTACTCAGCAATGTTTGAATCGCTGGATGTTGTCCTGGCAAGGGACAGGAAGGAGCGGATCAATGTCGAGCAGCACTGCCTGGCAAGAGACTTGGTGAACGTGATTGCTTGTGAGGGGAAGGAGAGGGTGGAGCGGCATGAAATGTTGGGGAAGTGGAAATCGAGGTTCAATATGGCCGGGTTTCAACAGTACCCTCTCAGTTCCTACGTCAATTCAGTCCTGAAGGGCCTCCTCAAGTGTTACTCTGAGCATTACACAATTGTTGAGAAAGATGGGGCTATGCTATTGGGATGGAAGGAAAGAAACCTCATCTCCACATCTGCTTGGCACTGAGTCTGTCATTCATAAAACGCATTGGGAAGTTGTAAAAGCTCTGTATCCAAAAAAACGAAGTAGGAAAGCCAAAAAACATGACTTTTATTGGGAGACAGGGAGTAGTCAGGTAAACGTAGTGCATAGAAGATATACGAAGTTTGATGCAGTCGAGCCGATGACGATGGTAGTCCTTAGGCAATGATTGTAAAATAGGGGCTTTTGGACGGAAAAATGTAACCAATTTATTGTTTTTATTTACTCTTAATCTTATTTGAAATATTCTTTTTACTCCTATTTAGGGTTATTTATGAAAATATGTCTTTGCTTAATTTGTTTACATAGTTTCATAAGTTGGATTTTTTAATGAAGTTTATCCTATAATATTACTTAAATAATTATTATAGTAAAAGTTGAATATAATAATATACACTAAAAGTTAGGGAAAGTTACCGAAATGGGACTAAAAAAGTTCGAAAATTCCAAAATAGGACTGTCATGTTTTTATTCCCAAAATAAGATTAATTACTGCCAAATTTGGAAAATACTGCCATGTTTGAAGTCTGGTACTGTCAAAACATGACAGTAATTAGTCCTATTTTGGGGAAAAAAACATGGAAGTCTTATTTTGAAATTTTCAAACTTTTTTAGTCTCATTTTGGTAATATCTCTCAAAGTTATTAAGCTGCATTTTTTGGCAACTATCATTATCTTGGATGTGTATTAGACATTATTTCCTTTTTAATACTCTAAACTCAGTTTGAAATAAATATTAGTAATGTTTTTTTTTAAATTGTAGTTTAATAATTGTCCTAAAAATGGGGAGAAATGGATATGAACTGGTTTAGAGCTAGGCCGGTATCAGAGACCCATAGGCCACACCCTGGTCCACCCCCAAAGTACCATGGACCGGCCGGTCCGGAAATTGCAATCAGTTTAGAAATAGACCGTCTATCCCTTCCCCTTGATACGATAGAACAACCGTTGAAAACGTCTTATTATAGTTTATTCACTTGATAGTCTCCACATGCGCTATCCGAATAATCTGATGCCTCATGCTTAATTTTACAAACTCGTTTACAACCTCACAATTACAAATTTTATCATTTACAACCTCCACAATTACAAACCTCATCATTTTTACTTTCTTATTTTTGACAAAAGAAAATTTAATTATCATTAATCAAATTAAAACCAAAACTTTAAACAATAAGTGAAGGAAGTGTAGAAAGCCAAACTAGAGAATCATACCAGAAACCAGTCACCCTATTCCCTATTTAATGAATCAGCAACTTGGTCCGTTAATCGCCATCTCACATGAGAAACACCAACATTAGTAATTTTGCCGCTAATAAATCAAACATCAATAAGTTTTCTCTCATATTAATTCCAGATTTTACCTTCACTAAATCTGATCAAGTGAGACTTCAGTGGTGCGAGATATCCTCAGAGACTATGAGGAGACGTGTATTGGATTATAAACTACACTAAACTAAAAAAAATCAATTTAAATACCGAGAAAATCTTGGTGAATTTTTACTTGGTGGTTTTTTACTTGTGACATCATGTTCAGATTTTTATAGTCTTGCCATGTATCCCTATACTTCAATTCAATATTTTTATTTACCAATATGTTTCTCACTTACTCTTTACGGAATTTTATGGTATACTTCTACCAAGGGAGCAAGTCTTACCTCATCAATTCAAATACTTAGTACATACAAATCCACAAAGTATGTGAGAAGCTCTTGGCGCACCCGAGCCACCGACACCTCATGAATGCCCCCTCGCCTCTTGTTGACGTAATAGCGCACTCAACACTTCAACTATAACTAAAACTAAGGGGGTGTTTGGATCTGATTCTCAAAACTGATTCTGCTCCTTCAGGGAACAGAAGTAGAAGATGGAGTGTTTGCGTGAAATTCTAGAAGCACTTCTGGTGCTCTAAATTACTCCCAGAATCCATTTTTTTAGAAGCTGGGGGGTACCAGCTTCTGAAAACTGATTCTGCTTCTGCTTTAAAAAAGAAGCAGAAGCAGAATCAGTTCCAAACACCCCTAAATAAAGTGAAAGCAGATGCTTTTTGAAGTCCTCTCCAGGAGCAAGATCAGTCCCAACTCCAAAATCATCAAAAGGAATGGAATATGTCACCGTTCTAATACATTCAAGCACCGGCTATGCCTAGCGCTCCGCGAAGCCTAGATGGTGTGCATAAATGCATAATTCCTTCTAAAGAAGGCTACTCTACATGTTCATGCATCTTACTCATATCTAATTTGAAGGCCATGAAACCAACATCACATTGCGCTTCATAAAATGTTGAGATTCAAATGTAATCATATATTTTTAATAATGATAAATGTGATCACATATTTTAATAATGAAAAAATCACTTTGATTTTCAAAAAAACATTCATTCAAAACGATTATATGAATAATATTAAATGATAAGGGTATTACCTATTAGCTAAAATTTTAGAAATATATCTTATACACAGAACATGATATGGGCCGCCAATAACCTCCGGTCTCTCCTTTTTTGGTATCAAAACCATACAGGTGTGATTAATTCTCTCAGACAATCTTCCCATTTCAAAAGTTACCTTACAAAAGTCTGTCACATCCGGGCTCATGACGTGTAACATCTAAATTTGGTCAAAACTTACTCTACAAGATGAGTTTTCTTATATACTCTGGAGTGTGGAGTTAACATGGCTAACGGCTAACCTTGTATTACATGACAAAGCAAGGAACGGTATCAAGTAGATGTGAACACGGGCTAGTTCCGATATGACTTTACCCCGGCTAGTTCGGGTAGTGGTAGCCTTGTAGGGAAAAGGACTCGCCTAGTCCTATTTTATTACCCTATTTTTCAGAACAAAAATGGAAGCAGGACAAAAATCCTAAAACCCTTTACCAGCTTAATTCAGGTCTGGTCCCTGGTCCGATCCCCAGTCCATAGCACACCATAGTAATGAATACTCGATTTGTACATAAAAGAAAAACATATACCATCTTATAAACTTCAAATCACAGAATAGTATGTAAAAATTGTATACCCTTAATAGTCAAAAGATTAATATATATATATATATATATATATATGAATTTAATTTAATTTAAGAGAAGAAACTTAAGCAGCAGCAGTCTTGAGTTTCTTGGTGATGGTGGCAATGTATTTCCCCTGGTGAAAAGCCTGCTGGAGTTCAAGTTCAGATGGTTGTCTGGAGCCATCCCCAGCAAAAGTTCCAGCCCCGTAAGGACTTCCACCTTTGACGGTCTCCATCTCAAACATGCCCGCCCCAAATGTGTATCCAATGGGAACAAAGATCATACCATGATGAACAAGCTGTGTTATGGCCGTCAACCTAGACGAAATCCAAAATAGTTCCACAATTTTTTACATTCAAAATTTCAAATAAATAAATGTTCATATTAAATACTACTTACGGGGTTGTCTCCTGCCCACCACCTTGGGATCCAGTGCTGTAGAAGATGCCAGCGGGCTTGCCAGCCAGCTGTTGGGTTCTCCATAGACCTCCAGTTGAATCAAGAAATGCTTTGAATTGAGCCGCCATCATACCAAACCTTGTAGGGAAGCCAAAAACAAACCCATCGGCTTCGGCCAGTTCTGTAGGTGTAATTAAAGGCACATCACTCTTTGGAGGTGCACTCATTTTTGCAAGTACCTCATCTGAAACGGTTTCTGGCACCTGTTATTACATGTAGCAATTTTAGAGAGCTTAATAACTACATGCTGAACCCGCATACTTAGTAATTCAAAAATGCAAACCTAAATCAAACCCGAAGTATGCTCCAAAGAAAACCATCTTTGCGATATTTTTGCACCACTTCATTCCAGAGATATCTTTACCTCTCTTCTTAGAGACGGGGGTAGATTGTAGAATAATTATTTCTATATCATATCTTACATTGCAGTCTTTTGGCTCTTTTACTACAACCAATTTCCCATGATTCACCATCATGAATCAAACCTAACCAAACCCAGTAATCCCATTTGGAAGTAACAGTTTTGGATGGTACAATGTATGCAAACCTAAACTCCAGGAGTAGAGAGGTTGTTTCTATGAAGACTCAAGGCTAAGAGAAAAATGGAACATTTGCATCATTTGAAAAAAAAATGATGATTTCGATTTTAAAAAATGTAGAAAAAAATGACATCTAAACAATAAAATAAGGCAGTGTGAACAGTGGAGTATCGACATTGAATCGGAGATGTAATTAGTTCTAACCATGACCTTATGATCACTCGTCAAGAACAAAGAAACCTTGTTTTGTTTATACAGAGGAGAAACAAAGCTCTCATGCAATCTTACTTAAAGATCAATGTCCATGTCTACAAACGTTAAATGCACCGCAATAAATTTGACTAAAAAGAAAATGACTCTAATTTTTGTATCTTCTCCTTCCATTCTCTCCTTTACCTTCATCTAAGATCAAGAAACAAAATGTGCTCAAACAGTGCAACTATGCAAGTAAAAGTTCAGAAAAGAGAATGAGATGTAAGATTATTATTATTATTACTACATGCATTATGATTAGTGTTTTACATATGTAGATATCAAAATACTTTCATTTCAAGAATAGCAATTACATATAGAAATGAGATGAGAGGATATCCATAAGAGTGCAGTAACTGATACGAACCCAGAGACGTACCAAATTAATCCCAATAGGGATTTTTCAAAGGTCATATCCGTAGGGGTAAAAGAGGGAATTTAGGAGCAGAAAAAGATCGTGGAGGCATAACCAACGAAGGGCATAAAGCGTAACCGAAGAGGGAGTGGACGGCAGTTTTTGACTTACGCAGAACTTGCCGGGAGAGAGAGACCCTCTCGAATTGGTCTCATTCGGGATTTACATTCTCGTTACTTCTATCGTTTGTTTACGCAAGATCTTTGTTGTAATTCCAGACTTTCAGTGTTTATAATACTTAATATATTGTGGGGAGTAGCTTGTTACTATCATTGATATCAGAGCGTCGATCGCAGGACTGTGGATGCCCGTTACTAGATCGCAGATGGAGAATAGAATTGACAGTTTGGAGCGCTCAGTGAACGAGATGCGCGAGGCGATGACGAACTTCATCAACCAGAACAACCGACGACAAACCAGGGGTCGTTCACGCACGCCCAGGCATCGCCGACTATCTGGAAGTGTGGGCTCCTCACGTGCGGAGAGTCATTCTGAACATTCTCGGACTCCTTCCACTCACCAGGATACTCCTATTAACAGAGAGAGGATTCGCACCGGAAGAAAGGTGGACCTACCCTTGTTCAACGGTAATGATGCACATGGATGGATTATCAAGGTTGAGAGGTTTTTCAAGCTTAACCAGGTGGCCGACGAGGAGAAGCTGGAATTGGTGCAAGAATCGGAAGAAGAAATAGAAGTTCCAGTAGAAACGGAAGAGGAGGCAATTGGTGGAGAACTTAAATCCCAGCAGTTGAATATCTTGAGTAAGGAGGGCATACACAACCAGAATACTTTTAAAGTCAAAGGTCAAGTGAGAAGCTTGGACAAAAAGAGATCAGTGGTCGTTCTTATTGATTCGGGTGCTACCCACAATTTTGTTTCACGAAACTTGGTGGAAGAAATGGGTTGGGATTACAACAGCCACGTTGGGTTCCAAGTGGAACTGGGAAATGGAGACCAGATAGTCAACCGAGGAAGGTGTGAACAGTTACAACTCTGGGTGCAGGGCATAGAAATCAAACAAGATTTCTATCTTTTGGAGTTAGGTGGACCTGATTTGATTCTGGGAATAGAATGGCTGTCTAGTCTTGGTGAAGTAAGGGTTGATTTTCGAGAATTATATGTCACCTGGAAGGAATCGGGACTAGAAAGGAGGCTGACAGGAGGCTATGCTTTGAATCAAGCTAAAAATTCTTGGAAGACAACACTTAAAGCCCTACAGACGCAAGGGAAGGGCTATTATGTGCACTGCAGTGAATCAGATTCATGTTTCGAAGGGTATGCAAATGGAGAAGAGTGGGAAGAAATATTACAAGCATACTCCCCGGTTTTCCAGAAGCAGCCGGGTTTACCTCCTAGAAGAGAGTGAGATCACTCTATCAATATAAAAGAAGGGGCTCCCATTCCTAACTCCAGACCATACAGATACCCACATTACCAAAAGACTGAGATAGAGAAACTGGTACAAGAAATGTTGATAACCGGAATACTAAGGCCAAGTACCAGCCCTTATAGCAGTCCAGTTATCATGGTGAAGAAGAAGGAAGGAGGATGGAGGATCTGTGGAGATTACCGAGCCCTCAACAAAATCACTATTCCGGAAAAGTTCCCTATTCCAGTGATAGAAGAGCTATTGGATGAGCTGGGTGAAGCTAAAATATTCTCTAAACTGGATCTGAAATCCGGATATCACCAGATTCGAATGAAAGAAAGTTATATTCCCAAGACAGCCATCAGAACCCATGAAGGTCATTATGAGTATGTTGTAATGCCTTTCGGATTAGCTAACGCTCCTTCTACCTTTAGGCTTTAATGAATCAGGTCCTTAAACCTTATTTGAGGAAGTTTGTGTTGGTGTTCTTCGACGACATATTGATTTATAGTAAAAACAAGGAAGAACATGCTGAACATCTAAGAAAGATTTTGCAGCTTCTCCAAGATAATCAATTGGTGGTTAACAAAAAGAAGTGTTACTTTGGGCAGAAAGAGTTGATTTACTTGGGCCATATAATCTCTGGTCAAGGTGTATCCGCTGATCCAAGCAAAATTCAGGATATGATCAATTGGAATTTTCCTTCAGATGTAAAGGGGCTTAGGGGTTTCCTGGGGTTAACTGGTTATTACCGGAGGTTTGTGCAGGGGTATAGCAAGATTGCTAAACCACTTACGGATTTATTAAAGAAAGATGGATTCAAATGGACTGAGGAGGCCAAGGCTGCATTTGAGAAACTGAAACAGGTTATGACTCAACTACCAGTGTTAGCAACTCCTAATTTTAACCAACCTTTTATCGTTGAAACTGATGCTTCTGGCCAAGGCATTGGGGCGGTATTAATGCAAGGTGGTAGTCCTATAGCCTACATGAGTAAGGTCCTTTCTACAAGGAATCAAAACAAATCTGTGTATGAAAGGGAATTGCTTGCGATTGTGATGGCGGTTCAAAAGTGGAGACCATATTTCTGACAGAACAAAGGCTTGTGAGTGAAGAACAACAAAAATGGGTGGCTAAACTCATGGGCTACAATTTCGTTATCAAATACAAGCCGGGGTTGGAAAATAAGGCTGCTGATGCCTTGTCCAGAAAGGGAAATTACCAAGCTTTGTCTGTTGTAAGTTGTCAAGAATGGGAGGGGCTAGAAGAAGAATTATTGCAAGATAAACGATGCAAACAGCTCATTCAAGATCTGTTAGTCCAGCCAGATGCACATCCAGGGTTTAAGTTAAAAAAGGGGCTGCTTTATTACAAGGACAGACTCATGTTGCCCAAGGGATCTCCCCGAATTACTACGGTACTGACAGAATTTCATGATTCAGCCAGTGGTGGACATTCGGGATATGTCAGAACCTTAAAGAGAATAGCTAGTGTGCTGTATTGGGATGGGATGAGGTCGGAAATCCAGAAATGTGTGCGCAGTTGTGAGGTTTGCCAAAGAAATAAGTACCAGACATTAAGCCCCGCCGGGTTATTGCAACCTCTGCCTATTCCAACTCACGTTTGGGCTTACATCAGCCTAGACTTTATAGGAGGACTTCCAAGAGCAATGGGCAAGGATACTATACTTGTTGTGGTCGACAGGTTAACAAAATTCGCTCATTTTATTGCGTTAGCTCACCCCTATACGGCTAAAGGAGTGGCAGAGATATTCATCCAGGAAGTTGTGAAACTGCATGGGTTTCCGAAGACCATAGTTTCAGACCGAGACAGTGTGTTTTTAAGTTCATTTTGGTCAGAGCTTTTCAGGTTGGCAGGTACTCAACTAAAATACAGTACTGCCTATCATCCCCAGACGGATGGGCAGACTGAAGTGGTAAATAGATGTGTGGAAACCTATTTGAGATGCCTCTCTGGGACAAAACCAAAGCACTGGCCAAGATGGTTACCATGGGCAGAGTATTGGTACAATACTAATTACCATGCCTCGTTGAAGACTTCCCCTTTTAAGGCTTTATATGGTCAAGACCCACCAACTTTATTCAAGGGAGATGCTACACTTTCCGCTGTGGAGGAAGTCACCAAACTCACAGCTGAGAGAAATGACATGCTTAAAGAACTGCAGCAGAATTTGGCAATGGCACAAAATAGGATGAAGCAACAAGCAGACAAGCATAGGAGGGAAGTTCAACTAGAACTTGGAGACAAGGTATTTCTGAAAATACAGCCTTATAAGCTGAAGAGTTTAGCAAAGCGAAGGAACCAGAAGTTAAGCCCCGGGTTTTATGGGCCATTTGAAGTGATAGAAAAGATAAATCCTGTGGCTTATAGGTTAAAACTGCCAGAAGGTTGTGCGGTGCATCCAGTTTTCCATGTTTCATTACTAAAGAAAACTGTTACGCCTAACATTCCTAGCCAGCCTCTACCAAGTTGTTTGTCGGAGGAATGGGAACTACAAACTCAGCCAGAGAGAGTGGTGGATGCTAGAATGACACCTACTGGACACAGGGAGATCTTAGTACATTGGAAAGATTTGCCTCAATTCGAAGATTCTTGGGAGGACTTGCTGCAGTTCCAGTCCAAGTTTCCAGACTTTCACCTTGAGGACAAGGTGAGTTTTGAAGGGGAGGGTGATGATACGAACCCAGAGACGTACCAAATTAATCCCAATAGGGATTTTTCAAAGGTCTATATCCGTAGGGGTAAAAGAGGGAATTTAGGAGCAGAAAAAGATCATGGAGGCATAACCAACGAAGGGCATAAAGCGTAACCGAAGTGGAAGTGGACGGCAGTTTTTTACTTACGCAGAACTTGCTGGGAGAGAGAGACCCTATCCAATTGGTCTCATTCGGGATTTACATTCTCGTTACTTCTATCGTTTGTTTACGCAAGATCTTTGTTGTAATTCCAGACTTTCAGTGTTTATAATACTTAATATATTGTGGGGAGTAGCTTGTTACTATCAGTAACTCAACAGCTGAACAATAACTCCATAGCTTTGAATCCGATGATTACTAAGGTGGCTCTACAAAACCGTTAATAAGGTTGGAGGAAACCAACCTAAATAATCAATACACCATATGGAAGACAACACCCCTAAAATATTTAGAAATGGAAAAAGGCCAGTACCATATATATACCATTGAAAATGACACTTAAGTCCCAAAGCAGTCGGAGAATAGCTGATCGACTCAGCTCTCCAATATACGCGTAAAACATAAATTATCATTTCAATCATGGAAAAAAGGGTGGCCCGTTGAAATGTTTAAAAAAGATATTGAATTATGTAATGTATCTAAAACTTTAAGGATCTAGAATCCCAACTCCTAATAGATATACTCATTTTGTAGTGCCAACTGTTTATGTCAAAGGTAGTAAGCTACTAAATGGAAATGCTAAAATTTAATATGAACCTAAATCCATTGAAAACGTCAGTCATCTTTATTCAATAATTCCTATTAAGATCATTCAGCTAATATATCGCTAGGTTGACTAAACCTTCACTTTATATCATATACGTAGTATCATATAAGGCTAGCCAGACAAGATGTGAAGAACACATTCTAGTAGACAGGAGAGAACATTTTAAAGGAAAAACTCAACGCTTATTTGCAAGAGTCACACATCAAATAGAACCCTACTTGCCACAACTTGGCTTCAACACCTTCTACAGATGAGGCCCCTTTCTTTATCTCTTCTGCAAGTTTCCCCACATGTCCATACATAGAGTAATATCTAAAAGAACACAAATTGAATAGCCATGTCAGATAAAATACAAGCAAAAGATTGCATCGAACAGTGATAAACTAATCTCTGAGCACAAGCAAGCAAATTCGTAATAGTTGTGAATATCCTTCAACCCAAGGTTTTCTGGCACTACATTGTGCAGCAGTGAGAAATACTATTATCATACTACATTAAGTGTAAACAGAAACCACACTCACATAACCTCAATGGAAAAGAACAAAAATTGGGAAATGCTAGGAAAAGAGAAAGAAATTACTGCAAAGAAGAGAACATGGATCACACGTGCAAATATTAGTGTCTTTTTTGTGCTAAAAAAGGATTCATTCAGTCTTAGAATGGAATACAAGTAGTCCAAATATGGAATTTTACCTAAACAAAATTGGTAGAAAATATAGGAGCAATTTGGAAGCACGGAAGATGTTGAGAAAATTAGTGCAATCAACCAAACTAGATTAATCTTTGTTTATTTTATTTTTGAACGCATGTTTGTTCATTTATTTTGTATAAATAATACACAATTTAAATAAATGTTATGATGTCAAAGAAAAAGTTAACCATACTTCAATTTCCTTTGCATTTTCAAGACTAGATTTTCAATACTAAATTCAATACAAGACAAAACATTCCTAAGCATTTTCTTTCATTTTTGCAGCACTTTCCAGGATCCAAACATAGCCTTTAAGTATTCACTTCACCACGTTTTTTCCTTATGCCCAACATTTTCTGTTTTGCTAAGCAAATGACCAGAGTCACCGATACGATGATCGTGTATTCTTGTTGTAAAGTGATGCAGTATCCACTACCAAACTGAATATGGATTTTTGTATGCTATTGACAAATTAAAAATAAGGATTTATTCCATTGGACTGAAATTTTCTAATCCATTTAGTTCATTTATGTCTAATCAAATCTTTATATGCTAGTAGTTTTGGTCTAGTCTGATCTGGTTTCATATTATTTTTTAATGGTCCTATCTAAGTTGGTCTGTTTAAGTGGTTCGTTTAGGCTTGGTCTAATAAATCAAGTGAGCACCTAAAATTTCCGAAGATGATACTTATATCAAAATATTTAAATGTATAATCCTGAGAGTCTACTACTACTACTAAGTTGATTAGACTCCACCAGAAATTGATCAAATGAACCCAAATTCAGATGGAAAGAGATTTAATAAGAAAGATTTTGTACAAATATCACCACCACCAACTAATACACTACGAGTCTTTGTTTTTATAACGAGTCATTTTTTTCATTTCAGAGACGTAAAGAAAATAATTAGCAGATCAGGCCTGATCAGCTGATCTTCACTCTACGGCACCAGCAGATTATGCAAAAAACATGAGTACAAATCTTAATCATTTGCTAAATGGGAAAAAGTCAAAATGGCTTTCATATCACGAGTTGCGATCAACCGCAAAGCCAAAAGGAAACTGTGAGATAAACTGCCACTTCAAGAATTTAAGCATGGGGCTTCTAATGATTGGATGGTCAAATCTAGGGAGCGGATAAAAGATTAATCGACTTACACGATGTAAACTTTGGCCGCCATTATCGATCTGGTTTTGAACTGAGAAAGATGGATTGGAATAGAAGGCGTTGACTAGTGAGATGCCACAATGCAGAGCGGTTATTTGAGATAGTATGATACGACCACGCTATTTGAGGTATACTTCAATAGAAGACATTCTTACGATATTTGAAGAAAAAATATTTGTACTCCCAGGTTTCTATAGAAGAAAATTAAAAAGATGTTTTTTTGAAAGGAAAAATTAAAAAGATGTTAAAGATAAATTAAAATTAAACAATCTACTCGTGACATGTTTTTTTTAAAGAAGGTGACTTATATTAAAAGAACAGAACGTATAAGCAAGATACAACCAGACAAAGAGTTTACGTTTTACCGCCCGTTCTTGAACCTGACTTACGTTTTACTCCGCCCGTTCTAGAATCTGCCACCTCTAAAGAAGCAACCAGATTCGATGATCTTGAATTGGGCTTACCCGAGTCAATGACTGGCAAACTAGACTCCTCATCACATGAGCTATGTTCAAGAGGTTTGACGTTAATAAAAACTAAAGCAAACAAAAACAGACGTATAATGTTTTCTTTTGGACTGAAATTTGCTGGTCTGGTCTGGTCTATTCTGATCTGGTCTGGTCTGATCTGGTCTCTGTGTATTTTATAACTACGGAATTATGGTCTGGTCTCTGTGTATTTTATAACTACGGAATTATGGTCTGGTCTCTGTGTATTTTATAACTACGGAATTATGGTCTGGTCTGGTCTGGGACTGAAAACAGTCCAAAAGAAAACATCTGTAGTACGAAACAAAAAACAACAGTAAGATAGAAAGTCTAAGATTGAAAAGTTCTTCTGTCCGCAGAAAGCACCAAATCTTCATGGATTTTGTGGGTCTGTATGCTCCAGCCTGCCTCTTCCCTGTTTTTTGCCCCATCAAGAGTCATGACATCCCCCTCTGAATTCTCATGCTCATGTACTTACCAAGTACGTCTTCTCGTCTACTCTCCTAGTCCACTACTATTCTGTCCCGCTCCATCCCTGTTAGCTGCCCCCATTCCTTCCTGGATTAGGTGGACCTCTCCTTGAACTTCATTCACTCACAAAGCCATTTATTGTCCAAAAAGGGGCGGGACCTCTCTCCTCCCGCCCACAATCAAGGACCAAAAGATTTAACAATAGCTTTATCCTCTTTCTCATACAATAAAGGGCAAAACCTTTCAGCATGTCCTATAATTGCACAAGCAAAACAAGAACTGAGAAATTTTTCATATTTAAAATCTACCTAATAACCATCTCCTTTGCTCTTATATAAGGTTGTTCCCACCTTTAAGGGATTTCCCACATCCAAGCTCACTCTGACCCTCATATAGGCCTCTAATTTCTCATCAAATTGGTTATCATCCCAGATAATAAATTTTCCCAGGTGATTCCCGATTCTCCTAGCAGTGCCTAGATTTGAAAACCATGTGGAACATTGTGCACCTGTACCCAAAACTTAGACGAATCCAGGGGGCCTTGGGTGGAATATCCCCCGGTTTGATGGCCATTAACACCAATAGATTCTGATCAAACAGCCAAGATCCATTGTCCAATACATAAAAAGCAGTCTTACATCATAATTTCTAATTGTTCATATGTGCCTTATTATGAAAGATTTCTTGCTATTTTTATTGATTAAAAAAACATTTCCTAAAGGACGATCTATTTTAACATCATACACTTTGCTTAAGAGTTTATTCAAATTCATAAGGAATTGCTTTCACTTAACTGAATATGGGCATTTCAGTGTTAGTGTTTCATTTATTCAATGTTAGGGTTGGTTTGCAAATTGAAATGGGCTATCTTTATGTGTGTTGCTATTTTAACCTTGCATTGCGTTTGATTGCCTTGGTTTATGCTAATTTTCCCAATTCTAAAAACTGACAGCCTTTTATGAAGATGAAGTTTACAATATATGCATTGCAAATTCATAGGTCAGTAGCATATTACTATCATTGTTTTTTGTACTGTTTTGTTTCAATATTTGTTAAAGTGCTTCTCTAATGAAAGATTAGTTTATTAATGATTTGTGTAGGTGAATGACGGTGTTGATGAAGAAATTGAAGATGAAGACATAAGCATTGATGCCAATATGTGATTTCATGATGTTTCTTTTTTCTTGTTGTGGTGATTTTCTTTAAAGAGCATTATAATGACATATTTTTATTGCAAAATATTGAGATTCTATCTCTATTCCAACTGAAAATTATTAAATAAATATTGCTGCGTTTTTTGAAACGGCCATTTCCAAAATATGTACTCTTCTTAATATACATCAATAGTAAAAAATGTATCTAACATTTTGGCAACAGTTTTCTTTTGTTGCTATTTGTAATAACGGCTCAAAACCGTTGTTGTACCGACTTTAAAAAAATGTTCTCTATACTATACCTATAAGTACAATTTTCATTTTGCGTTGCCTTTAATTTCAAAAACTGTTCCCAAAAGTATAGACAACGCCTTACATTGCCACAATTTTGAAACTGTTGCCAAAAATATAGGCAACGATTTTTTCTAATTGTACAACAGTTTTTTAGCGTAGTCATAGACTCAAAATGTTGTAGTGTGAATAGCTTAAAATTGGCTTATTCGCCCATGGTTTGCGGACAGTTTGAGGAGGCTCGTGTGTTACATTTCCTTGCTCGGAGAGCTGCTGAAGGAGTAGAACAGTAGATTATATTGCTAGTGGATTCTCCCACTTCCCTCCGGCCCGTTACGATTTACTATATACTCCCTCCGTCTCATTGAACTTTGTCAACTTTCCCTTTTTAGTTGTCCCAAAAAACTTTGCAATTTTCCTATTAAAGCAACTAATATGTCGTCCTGCACATTTCTCTCTCCTCTGCACAAATCTCAATCACACAGTTTTTACTTTTTTTTTATTTCTCAACTACTTTGCACTTGGCAAAGTCCACCAGGACGGAGATAGTATATGTTATACGCTATATTTTGTATACGCTATTTGCCTATTTCTATACGTTTTCTTACACACACCTATTTTACATGTATATATAAAGTAAGAGGACTTTTCATGTCCAACCGGCCTGACGGGAACCGCCGTCCGGCCGAGGGCATTTCGGGCACTTCCCGGTGGAATTTTTTGATGAAATATTTTTAGCATGTTCTTCATGAAGTCTAGTTTATCCATACCAAATTTCAGCTAAAAATTCAATCGGGAAGGCACTCAAATAATTTCTTGAAGTTAACTGGGCAGTTCATACATATAAACTGCCCAGTTAACTTCACAAAATTATTTGAATGCCTTATCGATCGAATTTTGAGCTGAAATTTGGTATGGCTAAATTAGACTTCATGAAGAACATGCTCAAAAAATTTCATCAAAAAATTCTATCGGGAAGTGCCCGAAATGCCTTCGGCCGGACGGCGGTTCCCGTCAGGCCGGCTGGACAAGAAGACTACTCTATAAAGTAAATTCATTTAAAATGTAAATTTTTGGATTTTATTTGAAAGTTATTTGTATGGTGTGCAAAAAATGTGTATATGCTAACGCGTGTACACGAAGAACGACTCCTCCCATAATACTTCCAATGTAAGATGGTGGTAGTCAATATTCTTATTCCTATTTTTTAACTATTCTTGCTTTACTCACAACTTCCACTACAAATGGTCGATCTAAGAAAGTCTTAGGCGTCTCTTTAATTTGTTTTGACATTTCAATAATTTTTGTATGTAGTTTGTACAGATTTGTTGGTGGGGATGGTTTTTTAAGAATGATTTTGAATACATTACAACATGGAGAAAAGAAAATGCACAATTAAGAGAAATTAAATTTTATTCCAAAAATATGATTTATTTGATCTTACTAAAAATATATAATTTCTCTAATTGGGAGTGAATGAGTCATACTTCACGAAGAAAATAATAATGATTCTATTTGCATACTATGTGTATGTTTTAGTTTTATTTAAGAAATCTTCTCACATTTTTTAGTCTCATATGACTCAATTATAAAGTCCTCTTATACATAAGCTCATCGTAATCATTTATCTTTAAATAGAGCGAGGTCTCACAAACACACACACACATATATTCTTTGTATCTCATAAAATTTTACCAAATTAAAATTACAAGTATAATAAATTAAATTATGAGATTGAGATTTGTACTTGAAATAATTTGAATTATATATTTATATGAAAATAATGAATAATTTTGAAGGAGAAGTATATCTCCCTAACCGAATCGTCTTCAAAAGTACGAATAAATTCCACTTTTGGTCCTACGAGTTTTTGGTGATTTCGACATTTAGTCCACATCTTTCACTTTGTTCACTTTTGGTACATGACTATTGTAATTTTTTTTGTTTGCAGTGTAGAATTACAGAAGGTGGACACTAGTCATGCCCTCCAGGTGCTCGATTGAATGCTCCATAGTTGACGGTCATTAAAAGCCATCCCGGAATATGAATGCATTGACTGCTTTACAATGGATAAGTTGCTATGGTCTGTGAGTGTACACGCAACCGTAAGCGGAAGCTTTCCAAGAGCTGAACAGTCCAGTACAAGTTGTACTGAAAGAAATTCTTCGCATTCCAACAATCTATGGCGTATTGGTAATAGGAGAGGAGAGAGGACTTTTTTAAAGGCACAATCTCACTCGACCAGATTTTACCACAGACCACCCCCCAAGAACCTTCGTTATCCACGGCGGCCCAAGCTCCCTCCAGACCTTGATTTTGGGTATCGCGGAGTCATTGAGAACGACTACAGGTCCCCTCCGAACCCAACCCAGGGTGACACTCCTTATGAGATTATCGCAAGTCAAGACCATCCTCGAGACAACCCAATCAGCAATGATGATGATAACCTAGAAGAGGAGGGAGAAGAACAACAAAGAAACCATGAGCTAGAATCCGGCGATGGAATAGAATGGGAATCCGATGAAATTGACGCCATTTCATCGCTTTTCAGAGGGAGGATTCCTCAGAAGCCCGGAAATTTGGAAAGGAAAAGACCCCTCCCTCTCCCTTTGCCTCACAAAATTCGACCCATTGGGCTTCCCTCACCAAAAAGATTCCCTGCAACAAATAACGTTTCCTCTGCAAGGAAATCCATGACAAATAGGCTGTACAAGGAGCCAAGTTTCTTGCTTCGATTGGCTAAAGATATAAAGTGTCTTTCAGCAGAGGAGAATGTATCTGTAGTTCTCCGAAAATGGGCCCCATTTCTTAGAAAGGGTTCCTTGTCCCTGACTATCCGTGAGTTGGGTCATTTTGGCCTCCCAGCCCGAGCGCTACAGACATTCTGCTGGGCACAGAAGCATCCTCATCTATTCCCAGATGACCGGATTCTTGCTTCTACCATTGAGGTGTTGGCTAGGTCACAGGAGCTAAAAATTCCTGTAGATTTGAATAAGTTCATCAGCTTGTCTAGCCTTAGTGTGTTTGAGGCATTGCTTAGGGGGTGCATTAAAGGAGGAAGCTCGAAACTTGCATTGAAGTTTCTCCTGTCTGCGAATGATCGCAGAAGAATGCTGGACACTGGGGTGTATGCTAAACTTATTTCGGAATTTGGTAAGAATAGTGACACAAATAGCACAATGATATTGGAGTTGCTAGAGGATCTTGCAGAAAGAGATGATCTTGATTTGAAACCACAAGACTGTACGGCTATCATGAAAGTGTGCTCACAGTTGGGAAAATTTGAATTGGTAGAGCAATTATATAACTGGTTCAAGATGACTGGGCGTGACCCCAGTGTGGTCATGTACACTACCCTGATTCACAGTCATTACTTGTCAAATAGATACCGTGAGTCTTTGGCAGTTGTTTGGGAAATGGAAGCTGCAAATTGCCTTTTTGATCTTCCAGCTTATAGGGTAGTAATAAAGCTCTTTGTTGCTCTGAATGATCTTTCAAGGGCTTCACGCTATTTCTCTAAACTAAAGGAGGCTGGTTTCGCCCCGACTTTTGACATATATCGGGACATGATAAAGATCTATACCTCTTCCGGGAGGCTGGCTAAGTGTCAAGAGATCTCAAGGGAGGCACAGATGGCCGGATTCAAGTGGGGCAAGAAGATAATGCGGTTGCAACAGAAACAGTGATTACTTGACATTCTACCCTACTTTTGTACGTGCTTGCATCAGTATGCAGAAACACTGATGTGCATGTTAGAGCAGCCATGGCTACTTTCCCTCTTGGCATCACTGTTCTGTTAATGGTTAGAGAGAGCAGCTCCCTACATTTTCATTTCAAATAAAATTAATTGCTGCTTCTTTGCTAAAACAATACTTTCCGTATGTAATTGAGTAGATTGAGTAATTAGGGGCACATTAACTTGAATTCCACTGTGGCCAGCAAAGTAGAGATAAATGAATACGAGTATTTACGTTATTTACTGTTTTATTTCTAAAAAATGGAATTTTGAAATGCTATCTACTTGGATTCATCAACGTAAATTATGACAAGATGATGTATAGATGCCTACAGAAAGCAGTGAAAGATACAACTTCCTTATTTTTTAATTAATATATGATTAATCTGTGTAATGATCATCTGTAACTAAACAGTTGATCAATTGGTGAGCTGGTGGGAAGAAGGTGCCATACATGTAAAATGCGATGAGATGTTACCATGTAAAATGCATAGGGCTCGTGTGGGGCAGGGATGAGTGTCATCATTTTTTTAAATATAAAATGGTACTCAGTAGTACTCCGTATGTAATGGTTTATATAGGACATGTGTCCATGCAACAAGGGAAGTCTATGTGATTAGAAAGAAAGGATGGCTCCCAAATACATTTTATTCTTAAGAGTATATTCTTTACTTGATCGTTATAATCAGATTCTTAAAAATACATTTACTACCATACTTATTCAATCTGTTGTTCCTGGAACCACTTTGAATCCAATACAGATCGATACATTTTAGTTTAAGGTGTAGGTATTTTTCAAGTTTTCAATTTACTCAATAAGCCTAGAATGAAAAGAGAAGGAGATTTAAAATCCCAAGACATGTAATAAACTGTTAATATTTGAACCAAGAAGTTTGTTTACTGGAGAACAAAAGTCCATATTTGAACCAAAAAGTTTACAGTTTATACATATTTAAAAATGTGAACAAGAAGGAGAAGAAGGTAGTATCCCATCAGATAAAGATAAACACGACATCAACAGTTCCATATGTGTAAAAGCATATATACGGCCTGTGAACAAAAAACAAAACAAAATTCTGTTGAAAAGCAAGCCATGTTTAGCTTTACTTGACAGTGGGGTGCAACACCAGTGACAAAGAATGACATTCACTCAGTGCATTTAAGTAGGGAGAAAAGAGAAACCCATGAATTTCATCAGTATGATTATTACAAAATGAATGAAAATTGTACATGTAATGGTTATGGATGGGGTTACGAAGGAAAAATCAAGTATAGTCAGTGTTAAAACAGATGAAAAAGAGCCTCTTCTAGCAAAAACTGGGACTGTTCCATCAATTCAGGGCTCAATCTAAACATGAGCACACAAAACTCCATCTGATCAAGGGCCCCATCTCCGTCGGAGTCCCCTTCTTCAAGCATGCACCGGAGGTCATTATCCGTCAAGTCCTGCAATCCCAGCAAAGCAGAGTTATTCTTGAGGCTCTCGAACGTGATCACCCCTTTCTCCTTATCCATGAGCACCTCAAACCCATTGCACAGCTCGCCAATCAATCCATCCCCGCCGAGCCTTTCCGCCATGAGCGGCAGTAGATCTTGGAAGTTCGACACACTTCTTCTCCATTCCATGATGGGGTATTCGAAACAGTGTGTGGGGATATATGCTGTTTGTTTGTTTGTCTGTGTGGGTATATATATATATATATGATTGCTTTGAATGAAATGGGGACATCAAATATATATACATATGTTCGGAGATGGGGATGGAGGTTTCGGAGAAATCATGGTGGGCGTACAACTAAGATACAGCAAGCAGATGGACAACACGAAATTCACCTCGCTTTGCCTCGTTCTCACTCCGGAAGAAGTTGCTATCCAATTTCCTGTTTCGAGGGCGGCGGTTCCGGGTCGACAAGATCGATGATGGACGTTGACCCACTTAGAGATATTCTCATTTCGATGTTTAAGAAAAAAATACTTATTTATAATTAAAATTAAGTTTCACTCAAAACAAATTAAAATTAGGGGTGGGTATAAATACGTAACTCATATCAAATTGACTCGTAATGGTACCGAATCGAATACCAGATACTTAAAAGAAACTATAGATTTTTATTACGAATCGAAATCATACTGTTTGAAACGGGTAAGAGACCGATTTTTTTTATCATCAAAACAAACCTCTATTTATATCTAAAGATTCAGTATCATTACATCAAATAAAGGAAAAATAAAACTAACACCAACTGAACTCCAACAACTACAACTGTAAACCCTATGATCAGACTTTGAGACGGTCACCCTTGAAAGAGCAACATGAATTGCTAACTTGTTCCCATAGATCCAACCATATCCAATGACAGAAACAGGGCCGACTTTAGGATTTTAGAGGCCCCAGGCGAAAAAACACTTGATTTTAAGAAATTATATTAAAGTAATATATAATATTTGTTTATGACATAAAATCGGGAAAACAGAGATAAATTGAGAAAAATGACATGTATATTATTAATAGAGTTTTATCAATAAAATTATATGACTAGTTATGTTTTTTGACAAAAGTATGACTAGTCATTATGTACGAGTCACTGTGAACTAGTCACTATAGTGTATTTTAGAATGACAATTTACTTTGATGACGAGTCATTGTGAACTAGTAATTAAATATGTCACTTATTTGAAATTTTTTAAAATAAGTCATATTTTTGTCTTTTGAATTTAATTTAGTAATATTCATGGGAAAAGGTCATAAATTGAATATAAACATTCCATATAAGAAACAAAGCATATAACATATACTCAAAATACACCATGTAGTGTGAACGTAAAAAAAAAAAATCAAATGTAAACCTAAAAAATGCACCAAAAATTATACTAGGACTTTTTAATTTTCTCAACGTACTCTTTCTTTTTGTTCACACAGAGTCAAGATTTATGTTTACCTATCAAAAAAATACCTACATATAAGATAAAAGGGTCAAATAAGGCCTTCTACTATTATGAAATCGTCACATAAGGCCATGTACTCAATAAAGTATCATATAAATGCGTCTACTTGTAAAAAACAATCAAATAAGTCTTAACAGCCTATTTACAACATCTTAATCCCGATTTTAGTGTTTTTGAAACCATCTTTTTATACTCCGTAATAGATTATACGGCACACGTCGAATATTTACCTAAGATTGGTTGAAATACAAGTCAAAAAAATTGACACGTAAGCTAAAACCAGGATTAAGAGGTTGTCAACGGGTCAGACTCATCCGATTATTTTTTATAAGTAGACGTATTTATATGACACTTTATTGAGTACATGGCCTTATGCGACGATTTCATGATAGTAGAAGGCCTTATTTGACCATTTTCTCTACATATAATTAATACTCCATCCATTTCTTAAAATTTGGCCAAATTTCACCACTACGAGAATTAATAAAGTAAAAATTGTGTGATGAGGTTTGTGCAGAGGAGAGTGGATTATCTGAAATCAGAAATTTTTTACTCAAAAGGAAAAATGACAAAAGTTTTAAGGGACGAAGGAAATAATAGAAAAATCACAAACAATTCAGTTAACAAAAAACTAAAATTAATAAATGCAATATAATTAATAGTGAGAAATTAAAATGTGTAAACTAAATTCATTACTCGTACTCCCTCCGTCCCAAAATGGTTGGCCAATGTTGACTTGCACGTGGATTAATAAAGTAAAAACTGTGTGGTTGAAATTTGTGCAGAGGAGAGAGAATTAACTTTTGCCACATATTCCTTACTTTAAATGGAAATGGCCAACCTTTTTGGGACGACCAAAAAAGGAAATTTGGCCAACCATTTTGGGACGAATGGAGTATTAGTTATTGGGGGCCAATGGCCCAATCTCCACTCAGGGACTTGAGGGATCGTTGACTGCCTATGGCTGAAGATCGGCGGAAGTTTACGAGTGTTATACTGCTATCAATTTCAGATTCCAATTACTAAATTAAACATTAAACTTTCATACGAGTATTAACCATACTTCTTACTCCTATTTTTTAGGCCCTCCCAAGATCGGAGGCCCTAGGCAAACGCCTAGGTTGACTGGCCCTAAAGTCGGGTCTGGACAGAAAGAGAGGCTAAAAACTTAAACAAACTATCAAAATCAACGACAAAGATGGACACAAGAAAACAAATGACAAACAGATAAAAATTATTAGGAAAACTTTCACGGACTTTAGCACCTCGTACAACCCATGACGGTGGTTTAGGAGGAGGTCGTGCCCCCGGTACCACACTAATTGATCCTCCATCTCGAACGAAATCTGGCCTACTCGAAGCGAGATAGCGACCATCTTATTCGTTGTCAAGCCCTGCTCCCCTCGCGCTGCTAACCCTCGTTGCACCGGTCTTCCACAAGGACGATAATCGCTGCACCCCATCTATCAAAAACTACTGGCCAAAGAAAAGAACTCCTAATCAGAAATCAGATTGGAAATCCTTGCATCACAAATCGGAAAACCTTAAAGCAAAACCCACTCCTCGGCGCTAGCCCTAGAGACGTAAAGTGTTCGAATTATTGGCTTACTAGCTTTCAAGCCCGTGCGATGCACGAGCAGTACATAATTTAGCTAATTGTAAATTTGATATTTTCGGAATCATATACGTATGTAGTATAATATAATGTGATGCAAAAGGAAAATAAACTCAGTCTAATATAAAATTAGTTGAATTGTATGACTCTACCGTAATGAACTAAATCTAACTGATCGGGCTAAATTGACGGAATCTCCCAAACTATGAAAAAGTAAAATAAAATATACTACGTATTACGTATATAATTAATAAAACAAATTAAAATTTATATGAAAAATATTTAAAATGGACTTGTACATAAGCATCTGAACTAAACATAATTGTTATGAATCCGATTTTAAAGAATTCACACAAAAGTTTCTTAATTAACTTCACATTATATTACTTCATTAAGCATCTCAAAATACTATTTTTTTTAAATATTTCTCATTCAACATGGTATGAAATAAGTATTTGTAAATTTATTAGTAAGATCATACATTTTACTCATTATTTCGTCACATTGAGAATGTAAGAAAATGGATCATTTTTACAATTTACCAATTTATTTCGTCACATTGAAAACGTCATTAATAAGATATACTCACTTCGTCCACCTTATATTGTCTCATTTTACCTTTTTGGGAAATCCCACTAAAATTGCTTCATACCATATTTGGTAAAGTTTGTGGGGCTCTAAATCATTCTTATTTATTCTTACTTTATCAATTAATATCAACCACACAAACCCACTTTTCTTAAAAATCGTGTCACCCTCTTCTGTCTCAATATAAGAGGAACAGAGGTAGTCTTAAATTAGATTGACATTTTCAGTTCTAATTTGGTCTGAAGTAATATAGTGTGGAAGATGTCTATTATATGTATAATAATATTAATAATAATAATAATAATAATAATTTTTGTTATTATGATTGATGTTTGATCTGATCTTGTCTAAGACTGAAATCAGTTGAATTAAAAACATTCTAAATATATGAAGATTTCTTAATTCGTATTAGGAATCTATTACAGAAGTGGGGGAATATTTAAATTATAGTTGTAAAAATAAAGAAACAACTAAACATATATGAATTTCCATTCTTATAAAGGTAAGGTGCTTGATCAGAAGTTTTACTTGTCTTCATATATGAACGTCTAATAGTATATATCAATTTCATTTTTAAGTTAAAAAATCTTTTGGTTATAATTTCCAATAACTAAGAAAGTATTAACACAATTGCAAATATATCTAAGCGAAGGCTTATAATTTTAGTCATTATCGCATTGAGTTTAGAAAACATACTGAAAAAGAGATTGAGTTTAGAAAAATAAAATTTCACATTTAGGAAATGGAACACTATTATTACCTTTTTATTTTTATAAAATAACTTTGAAGAACAAAATTAATAGCAATATGGATGATTTATCTATTAGGTGGGGAAAACACGGATAATTCATTTCTCAATAGAATGTAATAAAAAATAAAAGGTATAAAAAATATTTAAATAATTTATATAAAATATAGTTTATGTGTAGGGATGGCTATAAAAGTTACGTTTTTTTTACGTAGTTTACGTTTTTTTATTATATAATTTGATACAAAATATTTTGTCCAAATATAATGTATTTGATAAATACTTTGATACTTACTAATAGGTTATGCATTATTTGCAATATTTTGATAAAAGGTCATGTATTATTAGCAATACTTTGATACTTACTACAAAATAATACATAACCTTTTATATATATTTTGATACTACAAAAATAATTAAATAACTTATATAATTATTTGTCTATAAAAGTTACGTAGTATCATAATATTGCAAATAATATGGAGTAAGTAAAGGTTCTCAAAAAGTTACCTAGTACGGAGTATCAAATAAGGTGGATTATAAAAGATTGTACAATATTTTGTTTCCATATCAATATGCAATAAAAAATAGAATGTAAAAAAATAAAAAAGTAATTAAGTAATTATTATATATGATGACATGGCAGGATTATGTGGCACGCCGTATGCTCTTAAAAAGTTCCTCTTTTATATATATATATTGATTTGGGAAGAGACCGATTTTATATAGCCGAAATATATTTTTATATTTTTTCACACTAATAAGTCTCTTAATTAGACCAACAAATTTATAACTCAAGTATGTATTCATTCGCCCCTAAAATAACTAAATACGTGTGTTTGTATAAATTCTATTCTTTTTTGGGGGTTTCCCCCTAAATATTACCACCTCCATCCCCCTAAGTTTAGGACATAGGGGTGTGGTGGCTTTTAAGAAAAGTAGAATTGTGTGATTGATATTGAATTGATAAAGTGTAAATAAAGTAGGAATGAATTCTAATCACTCAAATATTACAAATATACTGACATGTTTAATGTCTGATGCTGTAAAAATGGCATTAATTACTTTCATTTATGGGATAAAAAACATGATAATTTAC